TATTCAAAGGAGCATCAAGTTCAATATTTAAAGGACCAGATGTCAAGAATGTTCGTAGGACAATTTTTCAAGAGATTCAACAACAAGGCTCACCCAATATATACATCATGTCATCACACTAAGCACGAGAAGGTATCAAGAAGGATCAACACCCTACATCAAGAAGGGGTCAAAATCCAATAATCAAGAGAACCAAGAACCATATTAAAACTGGCTTCCTAGTTCATATTTAAAATGGACAACTTCCATTCTTTAGACTAACTAAAAATACAGAGTGAAGATGGCAAATGATCTGAACCAAGAGGCATGCCAAGAGTGACGAAGTCACAGACACAAGAAGGACAAGGTCCCAACAAGAGTGCCAAGTGATCAGACAATCCGTACAAGTGGGCGAATTACACAAGCGTCTTTAATGTATTAAAGAATACCAATACGACAATGCAAAGTGACAAGATGTAACCAAGGTACCAAGATAACTTTCAGATAACCAGCAGGTAAAGAAAAATACAAGTATAAGTTTATACACAAACCTCAGTTCCTTAGCACAAAAACAGTCCAACAAAACTCCACGAATCAAACCGTAGACGTAGTAGCGTATCAAAGTCTTCAACTTGTACACGAGGATATACAACCTTAAAAATGAATTCAATAACTTATTTACTTTCTAGCAGCTCAATAATGATGACATAAAATAGGGTTATCATCACAAGTGAGCCTAGCCTGTACAAATACGACTATGCTCCCAAACAGTTAATTCTGGCCATCCTAGTGCACCATGTCGCAACTAAGATTTGAAATGGAAAACAGCAAAACTGGACTGTATACTCTTCATGAAAGATGTAGGTACCTCTCTTAACGTTGCAAACAACCAAGAATCACCGCAAAATGAATTTTGGATAAAAAGATATATTCAAAACACTAACAGTTGTCCATACAGGATTTGAAACTTCAGAATCTAGACAAAACTTGTCCTATGATGCATGCCATATTTCGAATCCATAACAACCAAATTAGGGTTTAAAATAAACATAAGAGTTGTACATATACGAATTATATTTCCAAATCATATTTATTCACAGTAAAAAAAGTTCTACAGAACGAGATATGCTTAATCTACTAAACGCTACCTAGCTCAGAAACAGGTTTTACTACTTACCAAAGAGAAGAGTGTAACTCGATTTCTAGCCAAAAAGGACCAAGATTTTCTCTTGTGTTCTTGAAGAACAAAAGGTTAGATAAAGTTCTAAGGGACGTTATACTTCAGCTTAGACGAATTTCCTTAAGAGGAGGTGTCAAAATATAGTAACACAAGAGGTGCTTATCATATACACAGTTGTCCCTAAAAGTTGGCTGCCCAAATAATTGTGTGCTGCCCAATTGCATACATATACACCTATATATATATATCCTTCACCTCCTTTAAAAGCTATACATATTTCTAATTAAAACATTACGCAAATACCCCCATACCATACATTAAATTACGATGACAATTATTTTAAGCAAGGTTGCACATATACCATTATTTCAAGTTCCCAAAATGAGAATAAACATATTGTAGTAATTAAGCAGTGGTTTATCGACACGCGACTCTTGTTAGCATTTTTGGGGTGTTACAGAGAGTGCCTTATAGAGTCCATGATAATAATAAACTAAGATTATGCTTAATGTATCATCTCCTAGAGTTCCAACATGATGAACTAAGATGTACCTACTACAATATCTCTTAGGGTTCAAAACAATGAGGGACTAGTCCCTAATTAAGGAACATGCGTATGATGACCTAAAGGAGTACTTAGCATGAGTAGTTGTATGGGATGCCACTCATGCATTGCACAAGTATGACTTAAGGTTGCCTTATGAGTGTTGTCTTACATGAGTTATGCTTAGATAGGATTGTGCTATATTTGCCTTCCTTGACATGATATGATTGACTAAAAGTGATAGTTCTGTTGTCTATATGAAGTAAGATAGTAATGAGATCAAAGTGGGGTAAATATGACTATGATGACTTCAAGGTTATGCTTAGTGTGAAGGGTAGTATGGGATGCCTTTAACTACAAAAATGACCTTTAGAAAAAGGAAATCTCGTTGCTATAAGTCCAAATCCGGTCGTTAAAGGTTTATAACGACGGGTCAAAAATTGGTCATCACCGGTCGTTAAAAGCTCCGTTGTTAAAGGTTAACAACCGGATTGCATGTCCAGTCGTTAAATATTATTTATTGACAATAATTAATCCGGTCGTTACACGTGCTTACAATGACCAAAATTCCCATCGTTGATGGTCATTTGGTCATTAGAACCTTCAAGTAAAACAACAAATTAGGGGTGTTATAACTAATTTTAGTGGCCAGAATTCCTATCGTCGATTACAGTACGTTTTAACAATCAAATTTTTTGTCACAAATTTTGACTTAAATTATTAAATTTAATTTATAGTTTTTATTTTTTCCATCATTCTAAAAAGAACTAATATCAGTTCATATAAATTCTTTTCAAATCCAATTGAAAATTTGGTATAAAATTATATTGTTAATAATAAAGAACACATTGATTTAATTACTAGAAACTTATATGTTCGACACAAAATCTAAAAACAAACTTACACGTTCAACATAGTAAAACATATGTGTTCGACATCTATCAAATTCTAGAAATTAAGAAAATGACATTATAGAATAACTACAGAAAACATCTATGCGACAACAATAAAAATATAATATTCTTTTCTACACTCTCCACTTTATCTTTCACATCTCGTTCTTCAATCTACAAAATCCTTATCTGTCAAAACAACAATTTGAAGTAAATTAATTAGTAACGGAAAAAAGTTGAACTGAAGGATTAATTCTTTTGCATAGTTCCTGATCTATTTTCTGATGTATACAACTAGAAACTGATTTAAAGATCTAGTTCATGAATTCTACATAATTTCTCTACCCAGCCTACTTCAATGAGGATCTCCACTAGCAGGCAACAAGAGTTGTATTACTTTCACATTAACATCTCATACAGAGGGTGGTTGGCGCTTCCTCGTTTAAATATTTATATAAGTGTATTCTTGTGGATGAAACAACACAATAGAAGTGCTTTCGCTTGGTCTGGCGTTAATGTATTTTTCAATTCCTTTATATTCTACTCCTCTTTGGCACTGTCATAGGATTATAATAATGTAAAACAAACTAAAGTAAGTATGAAAAGAAAAAATGACAGCGTATAAAATATAGCAATTACTAGAGAAGCATTAACAATAATAAAAAAATAGTGTAGTAATCGAAATATCATTAAAAACATGTGGTGGCGAAAGCAACACACTATAACAATGCAAGAGAATACTCCGCTACCTACTAATATTGAACTATTCTAGTATGTACAAATTTTAATACATTCATATTATCTCATACCCCACCTCTTTCACAACACCTGGGCCTCTTTCCAGTGTAATGTGAGGAAAGAGAGAGATTAAAGTTGACAGACATGAATATAACACACATTAAAGTTCTTCAACAAAGAGAATGTAAATATATTAACATCAAATTAAGAAGACCAGAAATCCTAGTCCTAGTACTAGTACTGAAAGTTGAAGGAAACAAAACACAGATAAGTTGTTGAAATGGAAATGAAAGTGGATCACATGAAACAAGCTTGCAGCTGGATGACTAGCAGGAAGTTGGAAAAACTTAAACAACTAATTACCACAGTCAACAATGACACAGACATTATCAAATATATTTAAAGTTACAGGGCAACAGAGAAAAGGTAATGTGGAAGTGTGTGATGTTTGACATTAACTACTAATACTACAATAATAAAAGGAAAATTATATTTACAGTGATATTATAGAGGACAAGGTCGTACAAGGACCTAATCAGAGGAGAGATCTTAATTTTCTACCAACAACTATATACATAACAATAACTATATTGATACCTACTTTTACATTTGAAAATATTATAACAATCTCATTGGTATATACAAAAATGAACATAAAATCAATCTTTTAGCTTTGTGGATATTATAACTAAAGTGACATTGATTTTAGTTATATAAAAAAAAGCTAGAATGAGAATACTAAAATATACAGAATATTTAAGATACTGCAATGCACTTAAGGAAAACAGATAACTCATAGCACAAGTGCAATAACAAAGCCCTTATCAACGAGGAGCATTTGGAAACAACATCACTTCATTCACAAATACTCATCATGTAATAATACCTAATAGAATGTTTACTAACCTTACGGAATTGATGGAACTGATGAAGACTGGCGGATCACTATATTTTCAAGGTGTTCATATTTACTCTCTAGAATATCCATGCGTTTTTGTAGTGATTCCTTTTCTTTTTGAGTTGTTTGAAGCTCTTCACACAATGCAGCCTTTGAGATGGTACCGCCTTTTAACTCCTTAGTGTTATTCCAACACCAAATCCAACTACGTGACTTTTGCATTGCGGTCCAAAGCACCTTTCCACTACCTCAGTATTAGTAAGAGATGGTTCAGATTGTACAAGCTCATGATTTCAGCCTATAAAATAGAATATTATTTAAGTTAACGCAATGCACTAAGTAAGAGTAAGGATGTTAAATAAATTTAAAATTGATATAAACATACATATTTTTTAGCCATTCCAGGTTCGACAACCTCATTTCCCTTCTTACGTGTCTCAAAGAAAATAGTTTTCATGTTTAGTGGATTACCATCTTTGCCTCCCTTCACGATTAAAAAATAAGTCATAAGCTATTTTATAGAAATAGGAGAGGTTTCTTTGTAGGGTTGCACAATTTATTTACCATTTCATAAACAATCTCTCTAACAGGCTTGCTACCCGTACGATGAGGCATACACAACTTAGATCTATTGACTGAGTTTCTTGTACTTGCTTCCTGCATTAACAACACAACACTGAAATTATAAAAATCATGTTTAATGATTCTATATTTAATGTGTACCTTTAAGATCAGTGGGAAGAGGATAAAAGAGAACAGAAGCACAAAAAATCACCATTGAAATTTTCTTTGGTAGATCTTGTGGATAGAAGACATCTAAAAATTTTACCGAAATCAAAACTCAATTTGAATATGCTATAAATTATTCCAAAAAATTAATCATATGTGACTAGAAATAAAATGATATTTGTTAATAACTATATGAAGTCTTACCTTAAATTTATCAGATAACAAATGTTCCTTGACCAACCATTACCAATCACCCTTGTCTACTCACATCGGCACATCTTTAAGAACCTCGGGGAATGATTTAGATTTCACATTCTTGTGCAATGATCCTCTCCAATTACTCCAAAGCTTTCTCATATGTTGAAAAACATTATCTCTTTGATCATTCATGTCATCACTGTCAAACTTCTCCTAAAATAGAAAAAATACCAACAAAATCTCTTGAATAAGGGAAAACAAGGTATCAAAGTATAAATCACCTAATAGGGAAGTAACCTAGAAAGTTTAGGAACTGAAATCAAAATATCAAATAAATAACAACCACAAGTTATCTATTTAAAACCTATAGTTTACTCACATCACTATTGTATAGTGTTTGAAATAGTGTTAAGAGTAAAATAGCGGCACAAGCAAGTGGACTTAAGCATGACGTGGAGGAACAGAAACTAATATAATAGAATCCTAGCAATCCTATCATACTGGGAGAAGAAATTGAACTTAGCATAAACTTTAGGAGATCACTAAGCTTAGCTAGTTCAATTCTATTATAGAGAAGTAAAGCCACATGGATTTGACCAGGTAATGACTGTACACGTTTATTTTTTTTTGTATAATCAAACAAAGCTATAACACAAATTCAAGGTTGGGCAAGGAAAATACATCATGATTAGGAGAGATAATAGATGATGTTTTTGTTAGTTATTTCTAGTCTTTGTTAGGTGATTCAATAGTAACAAAATCTTTCTTCTACTTGAAAATAAGTAAGCCAAAACAGTAGCATAATTAAAAAGGTAGTTGCTAATGGGTGAAAGAGTGAAAAAACCCCGAGGACTTTGTAAGTGACAAGCTTTAACAATGGCTCAACAGTCTGATGGTTTGGGTTGTTTATTCTTTAAGATGCTTCATGTATTGTAGTGGATGGAGATACTTTTCATGTTGTACATTACATTTTAAGAATAGGAATGTTGTTGAAAGAAGTAAATGCTACCATAATTTTAACTATCCCTAAGGTCTCAACATTGGCTACTTCATGTTATAATATGATCTACAAGTGTATATCCAATATGTATTCAACTAGCAAACAAAGATTTATACTATGGGTATATAATCAGAAGAAGTTGTTCACAATAGGTATATTTGTGTTATGTGATCAACCTTATTTAAAAGACCCCACTGATCTATTTATGTCATGTCAATGAAAAAATGAGTTTTGGAGAAAAGTGACAGGTGGCTGGGTATTTGTAGCTCAGGCAAAGTCAAAGAAAGTCTACAATGAATCAACCAATGACACTGGACCAAGATCAAGAACTAGATTGTGGCAGGGCAGTTATGGAATTGTTATTTACTCCATATTACAGAACAAAAATTAAAGATTCATTAAAGACAGAAGTACAACATATACATTTCATTACCAAAGAAAGATATCAATAGTGAAAATTGCCAAGAAGTCCAAGAAATATATATATGCTTAGTAGAGGCTTTTGATGAAATGGTGTATCCTCTATCAAACATTGAGGTCCTCAAGTAACAGTTAGTGTCAGCTCAATACTTAACGAAGTACATATCAATACACTGCTATGACTGAGAAATGTCCAAATTTTGCTAAGATGAATGTTACACATTGAAATGATAATATAAAATTGAAAAACAATAATTGATAGTTTTAACCAAATGCAAAATTAAATTAATTATAGCCACATTAAACTAATAACAACATCTAGAAGAATTACAGTGGAAGAATAAACTTAAATTTTCAAAAGCCTCTTATTAGCAGGTAGTGGCAAGAGATTTAACTATCAGATAGGCTAACGAGAGAGACAAAATGTGAGAATTTTTATCTATCCATTGAAACGGAGTAACTATACTTTGTTATTAAAGGAGAAGGAACGTGAAATCAAGAGTCTCATGTTTCAAACTGAAACATCCAATACTTTTTGTAAAGGGATTCTTGACAGTTATTAGTAAAAATAAGAGATCGATATGTTGTAATCCTTACAGTAATAGCTACCCACATGTGCTCAAGCGTATGCTCTTCGATGTCCATCCATAAGTATACCCGCAGTGGATACATATTAAGATCATGAACTAGCAAACCCAAGTGCCTCGTAAATTAGACTGTGATTCTGCCCGACTCCACGATTTTGATAAGAAGTGGCTTTTAATATTTCTCCAGGTCTCAGTCGCAAACCATTCTTACAAATATTTGTTCCCCTCACATTCTTTGCCCTTTCTGTTTCACATGGACCTGCAAAATCTACAGTAAGGAAAACCACACAAGAAGTTCAATCTCAATGTAGCATACTTCTAAGAAGGAATCTAAATGACTGGGATAACGAGAGTTCTATAGAATTTGTTAGTCTCCTAACTTCATTTAAAGATCTTATTAACAATGAGGATAGCTTGATATGAAAGGGGAAACAATTTGGTCTTTTCACAGTGAAGTCTTGTTACTCTTAGATTCTCAGGGCCTATGGAAGCGAGGCTAGATAATGTTTTAGCTGCTTTACAGGTAACAATGCAGAAACTATTAGAAATTACATAGAATAAAATACATACTAGTTTCAATTCTGTCAGCATCTTGTACCACTTAAACCACCTTTTTTGCTTTTCTAGATTCAAACAAACCTGGAAATCTAACTGTAAGTAAAAATGCCCAAGATATCAATTCAACTTGCTAAAAAAAGTTACACAAATAAAATAAAATAGTAGTTTTATCTTGCCGAGATACTTCAGTCATTTTTTTAGCCTTGTCAAATTCAAATAGACCTGTAAATTTTGATGCAAGTCAATTGAAATAAGAAGTTCATTCCCATTACTAACAAGAAAGACACAGAGGAAATGAAATAAAGCAAATGAAAGCAGTGGTGTAGGTGAAATAGCCCATGACAATAGTGACACAATCTCGAAGGAAAAATGCACAACATAGAATCACAAGGAAGTAGTAGTCAATGAAAAGAAGAATAAATTGAATAACACTTACGATAATAATGCTGAAAATAGTCGCAACAAAAACTGGTTTAATTCAAACAAGCTTCTAACTTAGCAGAGATGTTCCTACTATAGAGAAGTCAGGCAAACTGGATCAGGCTTGGAGATGCAAACACAAGGTATTTTTACCCAGTTATTAAACAGAGACAATTGAAGCAAGCTATTGAACAACAACTGGAAATATTGAAACTTCTTAATGCAAAGGATGGTAGGAAAGTTGTGTGTAGTATAAATATGAAAATCAATCCTAGTCCTGATGGCTATGATAGTGATTTCTACAAAGAAGCTTAAGATATCATTGGATGACACGTTATCATTTCTCCATTTGTGATTAAGAGGAAGATACCATTTGTGGCCCATATAACACTATTCTTGCCTATTGTTTAGCCTTGTAGAGTAAGTTTTTTTATTGCAACATGGGCAAGCCAGTTTTCCTTTTGTACTCAATCCAGACAAATTTACATATGCTGGAAATTCATTAATGGTCCACAACAAAGATGCATGTAACTTAAAATTATTTCTAGTTGATATCGAATGTCTCCACTCCAGTTTCTCATAATTCATTCAACTCCTCTATTATAGGTTGTAGATAAACATCAATTGCATCATCAGGACCATTAGAAGGACTAGGTATAAGCATTGACAAAATAAAATTATCTTGCTTCATGCAAAGCCAAGGGGGCAAATTATAAGGAACAAGTACCACATGCCAAATGTTGTAGGGAGTTCTCGACATTCCAAATGGTTGCAAACCATCACTAGCAAGTCTAAGTAGTCGTACATTACGAGGTTCAGCTATAAAAGATGGGTGAAGTTCATCAAAAAAATTCCATGCCATTGAATCAGCTGGATGCCTCATTATTCCATCATCAACTCTTTTTTCATGATGCCATGACATCAAAGGAGATTTCTTTGAACACATAAATAATCTTTAAAGTCTTGGCTTTAGAGGAAAATAACGTAAAATCTTGCATGGTATCTTTTTTCCTTTTTCAATTTTGTTTCCCCACTATGTTTAGCATCCTTCCATCTAGATGCACCACAAACATTGCACAATTGAAGGCAATTATCATCCTTCCAATACAACATGCAATCATTCTTACATACATCAGTCTTCTTTTAAAAAAGCCCAAGATCTCGACTTACCTTCTTTGCCTCATAATATGAATCCGGCAAGTTTGTTCAATCAAGCAATAAATCATCTTTCAAAAACTTCAATAACCTCGTAAATGACTCATTACTCCAATGACCAATACTTTTAAGGTGAAGCAATTTTAATCAAAAGTAGAAAGTTTAGAAACTTTTTGCACTTTCATATAATGGTAGATCAAGATCTTTCAATAACCTATAAAATCTTTCTGTTTCAGCAGTTGGTTCCTCCTATCGAAGATCATCACCAGTACTATTATTCATATTATCTCCATCAAAATCGGGGTACAAATCTCTTAGCAACCCATGTATTTCATCCTTACCATCATCCTCTCCAATGTCATTATCATCTATAAATTCAAAATCTGATTGTGCTTCACCTGACATCTCTCCATGGTGATACCAAAGAGTATAACTTGGTATTATCCCATGTACTATTAAATGTGACCTAACTACAACACATGTCTAGAAGTTGCATTAACACATTTAATACATGGACAACAGATCGACATTGGTTCTCCTAATTTTGTAAAAGCATAATCTAAGAAATTATCCACCCTATCTATATAAGCATTAGCAAGTCTATTGTTAATAAGTTCCATCCATTGCTTATTATGTGCCATAATCTTCATGCATGTAAAATATATAACACTACATTAGTATAACAACCAGGTACTCAAAACATGGTAAAAAAAAAGTTACACAAATTCTAATAGTCAAATTACATGAAAAAAATCTAGCAATTCAAGAAATTCAACATCTAAATATTAAAAGACCAAATATTTCAAAATAATAACTTTTGTATGTACATTCTAGACATCACTAATATGTTTAGTTATTTATAAAAATCTTGTGTAAATGATGTTATTACCCCAATAGACATCATTAGCTCCCTCTTATTAGTTAAACAACTTTGAGTTCTTGCAATAAGTTTTAATTCCCAGATCTCAATTATTGTTTTGCCAATTCTGAAGTTATCAACTATTTTCTTTGTGGCTATCTTGCATCTCCATGATAACTTTTCATACAACCTCTTACTTCTTAAAAAATGTTAGGAACTATAATGTAAATCTAATTATGGTTACTCTTTTTCTTGAATGTATAGCAGAACAAACTTTGCAGATGATTTTAAAGCAAATGAGGGAATCGAATGGTGATTACATAAGGAATATACCAAGATATACTTGCAATTAAACTCTAAAACAATGACCAAGATATTGACAACATGTTTTTTATGTAGAATTACAGCTCAAAAAGCCACAGTTCAATTGAAATTGTTGAAAAGTTGGAAAACTCATCAAGATGATCTGGTCTCTAGTCTCTACATTTATGGTTAGGTATTGAATATACAAAGTAGGTTCACAACAAATTTATAAAATCACAAACAAAGGTTCGATAAGTCCTATAATCTAATCCCATTATATTTATAGAAGAGTATGTAAAGACTAAAGAAAAAAGGTGAAATATTTTATATTTTTCTGTTTGTAGCATTTAAATTTTCTTACAGTTTTGCAATTTTTTCTTACATGTATTGAACACATTAAAATTTGGACAGTGGTAGTTACAATTACTCAAAAATCAATGAAACACACTAAAAGATCGCAACCACCAGTACCTCTTAAGAAATGGTCAATAAGACCAAATTTTAAAACATAGCAAAAGAAATGACCAAACAAATTTGGACAAATGCATGCAGTAGTTTAAAATACATACCAGTAAAGAAGAAAGGTTTAGAAAAAGTAAAAAACATACCTTACAAAACAAATCAACACAGAGCGTTCAAAAGAGTAGTTTTGCAGTCACTTTCAACAAAAAGAAGCACCACTGACAGATTTAGAATCAAAGTCTACACCAACCAAGAAAGAAATAAGCGTAAATGAGATGCACTTTAGAGAAAAGAAATTATGAAATTAAACAAAGATCCTACAAAAAAATCTACCAGCTACATGAAATCAGAGAATCACAATTTCAGTATAATCTTTCCAATGCTATATGTATTGCCTAATTTAAAAGAGTTTGTCCAATTTCTAAGAAAGAAAAAATATAGGGAGAAAAGAAGGATATATGAACCCTGAATGCGGCATATTAATTCCCAACAACAATTAATGTTAATTGTTCACTCCTATTCAATTTGAAAGTATCTACACAAGGAAAAGATCAGATAGAAGAACAAGATCAAACAAAAAAAAGAGATTGTGTAGTAATTGACTGCAACCTTAACAAATGTGAAGGCATTCACAAAACAACATGAAGAATCAAGGGAAATAATGTTACTTTTTGGTGTATAATGTGTTGCGAATGAGATCATGGAGATGTGAGAACTGAAATGCCCATTTATTACTCATAGGAGAAGGTTTATTGGTGACTACTCACTAGAATAACACAGTGTGGCAGTGACTTTCAAGTTTTAGGAGAAAACAAATCATTGAATTGTCAATTAAAGGTGATGTATACTCGGGAAAAGAACATGTATTCACAGTTAGATCTTCACATGAAAAACCTCTTTTAACATAGGTATTGATTTAGTACTATTAGATAGATTGTAGAATATACAATACTTTTCCCACATGTAAAATGATATTAAACAGAGACATGGGTTTTTATAAATTCTAAACAGGCTATGAATTTTGAACTATAAATATATAGAAGAGTTTAATCATGCTAATAGTAGCACATACTGTTAAATTTTTTAAATTCGACCTAGCCTAAGCCATAGAACCACATGAAGCTGGCTTAAGTAGACCCAAGATTAAAGAAGTAGATTATAGGGGAGTGGAGTTAATCCAAGCAGGGCTGAACCATGCATTATAAAAATGTCATCAACTTAACGATAATTCAAGGAAATGTTACAATGTAAGCATTTAATGTAACATAACAATAATGTAAGAGCCTGAACTAAAGTAATATGTCTTCTTTGAATGACTGGGCAACACTCAAGGAGCTACTTCAAGAAAAAGGAAAAAGAAAGGCTATATTACAACCTCAACTCCATTTGTACATCAAAATGTTGTTGTCACTCGTTATCAAATCATGAGTTATTTATTGCTTAACCAAGATATGGCTTTGAGAATCAATCTTATTCTTACGGTGGAAAATTCAAGAGGTATACTTGTACTTGTAGATACAGATCATAATCATAAAGTAATAAAGCAACACATATAGAACAAAACCAAAAAGACTAGGGCCAAATTTTCAGCAGACTTAGATGTGACAAAGAAAATATTTTGTAAGTTATTGTATTAAAGTTACAATAGATTATCAAATAGATGATATATATAATTCCTCCTTGCTACATTTTTTTGTAAAAATTGCAGTGTCCTATGTACATAAAAGGTCAGGTCCTCGGCCACTCTTGTGGTTATAAAAATTTAGTATTTTGAATTAATATTAGTGCTACAACTATTGTGTTTTGACCAGAACAACAAAAAAAATAAAGAAAATGGGAAGAAGGAAACCTAATCTCTACAGTTTACACAAACAATTGTATCATATTATAAGGTAGAAATACACTTGTGAAGGATAATGAAAATTTTGTCCTAGAAATTATCAGATTGACAAATTTATTCAATAATTATTACTATTGCGACTTCTTTTATTGTCAATCGAGTCTACTACCGAAAGTACACACAAACATATGCTTGCAATGAGTAGTATACCTAATTTAAGATCATTTGCACCAAA